TTTTTTTTCCTTCTTTTCATGTGTGTGTGTGTGTGTGTGTTTGAGAGAGAGAGAGAGAGAGAGAGAGAGAGAGAGAGAGAGAGAGATAGGGTTTCCCTATAGCCCCAGCTGACCTTGAACTCGATGTGTAGACCAGGCTGGCCTTGTAAACTGATTTTTTTGTTCAACTTAAATTTTTATTTATGTGTATGTGCATATGTGAGTGTGAGCCACTGCCTGTGGGAGCCAGAAAAGGGTGTCAGATCCCTTGGAGCTGGAGATACAGGTGGTTATGAGACACCACTCTGTGTGGGTACTGCAAACTGAACCAAGGTCCTCTGGAAGAGAGCAGCAAGCACTCTTAATTACTGATCCGTCTCTCCAGCCCTAATTAACTTAAATTTTTTTTTTTTTTAATTTTATGTGTGTTTTGTCAGTATTTAAGTGGATTTTGTGCATGCGATACTTTCAGGGGCCAGAAGAGGGCATCGGATCTGGAAACTGAATATGGGTCCTCTGCAAGAGCATAGAATGCTCTTAACTACTGAACCACCTCTACAGCCCCTTAATTAAAATGTTTTTTGAGACAGGGTCTCACTGTGTAGTCCTGGCTAGCTGGGAACTCACTTTGTAGAACAGGCTGGCCTTGAACTACAGGTATTTACCTGCCTCTGCCTCCCAAATGCTGGGATTAAAGGTGGGTGCCACTACAGCTAGCCTTAATTCAACTTCTAATATAAATTAAAAAAATTTTTTAATTAAAACTTTTAAAAAAATTTTATTTTTATTTTATGTGTATGTGTGTATTGCCTGCATACTGTAGGTAAGTGCACCCGTGTTGTGCAGTGCCCTCGGAGGTCAGAGAGGCTGTCAGATCCCCTGGGACTGGAGTTACAGACAGTTGTTAGCTGCCATGTGGGTACTGGGATTTGAACCCAGGTCTTCTGCAAGAACAACCAGTGTTCTTAACTGCTGAGCCATCTCTCCAGTCCCATAAATAAAATTTAAGTTAATTTTTATTCAAAGTTGAATTAGATTTAATACATTTAATTTTGTTATTTTAAAAATATTTACTTTTGACTGGACATGGTGGCACATACCTTTAATCCTAGCACTTGGGAGGCAGAGGTAGGCGGAGCTCTGTGAGAGCGGGGCTCTGTGAGTTCAAGGCCAGCCTGGTCTACATAGAGAGTTCTAGGCCAGGTGGGACTACAGGGAGACCTTGTCTCAAAAAGGCACAAAAACAATTATTTTAATTTTTATATGTATGAGTGTATTGTCTGCATGTACATGTGTGTGAGTGCACCTGTGTCATGCAGTGCTCACAGAGATCAGAAGATAGTGTTGGATCTGGAACTGGAGTTATGAACAGCTGTAAGCCACCATGAGGGTGCTGAGAACCAAACCTGGGTCTTCTGCAAGAGCAGCCAGTGCTCTTAACCACTGAGGCATCTCTCCAACCCCCTGATTTTGTGTTTTTATATGCCATGCATTCCTCTTTAGAATTTTAAAAAATATTTATTGTGTGTGTGTGTGTGTGTGTGTGTGTGTGTGTACACACGTGCATGCATATGGGCATGTATGTGTGCAGTCTCACAGGGAAGTCAGAGGACAGCTTGTTGGAATTAGTACTCTCCTTACACCATGTGGAGCCCAAAGATTGAACTCAGGTTGTCAGGCTTGGCAGCAATTACCTTTACTCACTGAGCCATATCAGCAGCCCTCTGTTCTTTTGAGATGGGAGTGGCTTTGTAGCTCAAGCTGCCTCACCCTCTTGAGTGCTGGGATTATGGTCATTTGCCTTTATGCCCAGCTGCATTCTCTGCTTGCCACTATCATTGGAATAATTGTGATGCATCTTTCCGCCCTGGAAGGATACTCAAGGAAAAAGTATTGGGCTGCCTGACTATTGAACTCCAAGTAGTTGTAGCCCCATGGTTCAGTGGTACAAATTGTGTGTGTTTGTGTGTGTCTGTCTGTGTGTGTGAGAGAGGGGAGCGTGGTGGGGGGCGGGGGGACACAAAGAGAGACAGCAGAGAATTCGCCACAGTTGCTGAAGTTATACTTTCTGTTCTTTTGCATGGTATTTATCTTCAGCCTTGAGTGACTCTAGCAAAGTTTCCTCACTAAAGAAAGTATCTGGGGCTGGAGAGATGGCTCAGTGATTAGGAGCACTTACTGCCCTTGCAGAAGACCCACATGGCAGCTAACAATCATCCATAACTCCAGTTCCAGGGGGTCCAATGCGCTATTCTGACCTCTGTGGGCATTGCATGACACTGGTGCACTTACATACATGCAGGCAATATACTCATACACATAAAATAAAAATAATAATTGGGACTGGAGAGATGGCCTAGTGGTTAAGCACTGGCTGCTCTTGCAGAGGACCTGGGTTCAATTCCAAGCACCCACATGGCAGCTAACAACCATTTTAACTCCAGTTCAAGGGGAGTTCAATGCCATCTTCTGATCTCTGTGGGCATTGCACAATATGGGTACACATACACACATGCAGGCAGTATACTCATACACATAAAATAGAAATAATTTTTTTTTTAAAGGAAAAGAGTACTGATTTGTACTTCACTTTCTGGTTTGCTCCAGTTTTCTCTTTTTTGTTATAGGCGCTGTATTCAGGTAGTACATAAACTGCTTTGTTACCAGAAGAAGTGTAGAGTTCGCCTGCATTACACCTGGCGGGAACTGTGGTCAGGTAACTTTCTCTCTTCAATTCACCCTTTTTTCCTATATGTATTATGAACACCTAGGTTTGGGCATGATTATCAGTATTTTTATTTTTAACCTTGCAGTTTGTTAGGATGATTCTGTTTTCATTTATACTATTTATTTATTCATTTATTTACTTATTCATTTATTTATTTTTCCCTGCCAGCTGTTACCAACAGTTGACTATTTCTTGAGTTCCAGGGCTGAGGATGTAGCTCAGTAAGGTGCTTGCCTCACATGTGTAAGGCCCTGGGTTAAATCTCTAGCACCACAGGGAAAAGAAAAAAATTCCACGAAGAGAGCATCAATTATTATCCAGGCATAGTGGCTCACACCTGTAATCCCTACCCTAGACCCTATTTTAAAAACAAAGATTTCACTTGGGAGGCAGAGGCAGGTGGATCTCTGTGAGTTCAAGGCCAGCCTGGTCTACAT